AAGAAAACCAAAGGCCGAGATGATTCAGTATGACAGTGTCACCAGCTTGATGGTGTAGTGTGTCATTTTTAGGGCTATTGCACAATATTACGCAGTTTCACTACTGGTGCTTTGATGCCACTGTCAATGTGGTTTGACTGGCTTTCTGTAAACACTGCCATGTGGTTTCATCTTTGTCTCTCTTATCCTTTGAAAGTTGGGGGAAATTCTTCTATTAAACAATATTTCTTTAATGCGGTAGAGAAGAACATTTCAATTGAACTCTGTCACATCATCAGCATTACAGCTATACATTACAGAAAAATAATCTTGAATTATTCACTGTTGACAATGTCAATATGTTTCTATGTCTCAGTTTAAAAAAGCTATATATAGTCTCTAGCTACAACAATTATTATCATGAATGCGATATTGCTTTGATTTTTTTTAACAATTTATTAGTGAATTAATCTTATCGCATTTTATTTCGCACTCTTTTTAAATGTGGTCAATTAATGAATGTACATGAATCTTACTTAAAATAGACTGTTTTTCATTTGAATACCAACCGAACAGACAAATAAAACCCCAAACATATCTAAGGGCCAAATTGTTAAAAATAATTAATACATTTGTTTTAAAATTTTCATAAATAAACACAACTTTTACAGCAAGGCGACAGTTCTCAAGGTCCTGCCCTCTTACATATGATATAAATGTAGGCTAAAGGAGCAGTTTTTTAAAGTAAATGTCTCTAAAACTAAACAAATGTCTGGTTTTCAACATTAAATATATAAAAAATATTGAAAGGTTTGCTTTGCAGATGAGGGTGTGATTAGTTGATTATACACGCACTGCATAGTTTGAGTTTGCGCCTAAAGGGTGTGCTCCTAAAATAATAGTCAAAATATGTTGAACAAGTGATGACATGTCACTTTTGAAAATGTGTTCCAGTAACATGAAACAGCTAAAGTACAAATTGTTGCACGGCAGCAGCCTACATGATCAATACAGAACGTCTGTTGTATGAACTGTTTGAATATCTCTTGGTATTTACTGCTGAGAGCTAACTCACATTTCTGCACTATGCAAATTGGCTTCCATAAAAAATACATATATTATAAAGTGCTGCAAGAATATAAGTCTCTTAATAAGGCGGTTGAATGTATTTTATTATTATAAACAATTTCTATAAAACAACAACTACAGTGACATCCAGTTAGTCCTGTTAGACTGTTGCGCCTGTCCCCAAGCCTAAACGTCATTCCAATAAAGTTTTATCTTTTTAAAACATCTCCCTGTACAAACTTGGACTTCTAAATGTTGCTAATTACTTTCCTTAAACAGCAGGGCGTTATATGTCCAAGAAATTGGAGTCAAATAGGAGCGAAATGTTCATTCGTTAGGGGCTATTTTCTGCTGTGGGTGAATGTATGTTTTCTGTTGTAGTCTGTTAATAGAGTAGCAGGACGTGTTTATGGGATTATCTCTAAAGGATCTAGGTAACAGGTAACATTTCATCCATTGCAACAGTGCAAGTCATTGATGTGTTTTTATTAGTCTTTAACAACAAAAACGAAGCTCATCAAAAGAATAAGTTATATTAGGCCTTGGATACAAAAAAAGTGCGTGTTTTCATGGGACTTGTTTTCATGGGATGTTATTCCAGTTTAAATTGTTCTAATTGTTATGTATGCATGAATTATTACTCCAATACGACACAGTGACTGTTGCTCTTTACTCATGTCTGGTCTCGTTGTTCAGGAATTAAGATTCACAGTTAAAACCTGTTAGACTCCTACGCTTTCCTGCAGAAATAACTACTCATACACTGTATTGTCAAACTGACGTCTTATTAAACATCGGGAAGGGTTCAGAGGTGAGGCTCTTAAAAAGTCCGTTAATTTGAGTAATGAAATTAATTAAAGTCACTTTGGCATTTCTTCTGCTTGTTTTTCGGTACAAAATGCATTCATATTATAGTCACTTGTTTAAGAAATGGCCCTAGAAACATTGTCTTACATTTAATGACTGCTTTCATTTGCTTTGTGAAGGTGTTTGCTAAAAGACCCTAACTCAGTAAAAGGTTCTATCCAATAATGTTATATATCCTTCATTTTCACTTTAAATGAAGTACTAAATGTTAAACATTAAAAGCATTTACCATGATTCTCTCTTTGGCAGGTCACAAAAATGGCCCACATAACCATTCCTCCCATCCTTAACATCACCACACCTTCCTCACCCATCGTGGATACCGGCGCTGGCACCACGGTGGGCGCCCTAATCCTGAGCCTAGTCTTTCTCTTGGGCTTCCCTGGAAACCTCTTCATAATCTGGAGTGTCCTGGCACGTGCCCGAAAGCACTCCGTCACCACCCTCCTCATCCTCAACCTAGCTATCGCCGACGGCTCTCTGATGGCCCTCACTCCATTCTTCGTCATCTACCTAATTATGAAGACTTGGGTGTTTGGGAGTGTGATGTGTAAACTCCTCTTCTACCTGTGTCTGGTCAACATGTACGCATCCATCCAGCTCATCATGCTAATGAGCATCTACAGGCTGGTGGCAGTGCTGTGGCCGCGACACGTCACTCTGATCACCGGCCGGAAGACTGTAATATGGGTGCTGGCCGTGGTGTGGGTGCTGGTGATGTTGGCATCTATTCCTGCAATGATCTTCAGAAAAGTGAGGATTCAGAATAACTCCTCCGTGTGCGAACCAGTTCATGAGGACAACAGAGATGTGAGTGAATTTTCCCACTATCCATAATAAGAACAATCTCTCTACCAAGGCTGCGTAATCCTCTAAATCTTTTAGTTGAATAAGAATACAAGTTATAGGTTTTCATAGTACTTGAAAATGAGTCAACTGAGTAACAGTCATTACCATTTAATAAGGGCCTATCGGAAGCCTTCTGGTTTGTGTTTATACGAACAGCCTTATTGACAAATCACCTATGAGCCGGCTTTGATTGCTAGCAGTTAATTAAGGTTATGTGGAAAGCAAAAGTGAGTGATGAGATGGATTGCATTAGTTGTAATGCAGCTTTTGACTGACAAAGTTTTTGCTTTTTATTTTATTTAAATGTGTTTTTTAAATTGGCAATGCTCAACATTTTACTTTGTTGATGTCCTCGCTCAACTCCAACTCCATCCTTGCGTCTAAAGTTGCTAATCAGACACATATAAAGCAAGAACCAAGGGATGATTAGCATAGCTTAGCATAAAGACTGGAAGAAGCTGGAAACATTTAGCCTGTGTCTGACTCAAACAGGCTATTATCAGTGGTAGTATTATTTGATGATTTAGCTTTAGAGGGTTTCTTTCATTACATTTTTATTTACTTTTGACAGAAACAGGAACGCTATTTCCCCCTGGCTCTATAGTCTCTATGCTAGGCTAAGCTGAGCTAAGAGCTACGCATCACACTTGTAGGAAACAAGGTATTTCTTTATTAGTGTTTTCTTCCAAAAGAAACCAAATAACTAATTAAGTGGTCATCCAACAAGTTATGTACTTAGCTGCCATATGTAATATACTGAGAATTTGTTGTCCAATCATTGCAAAAGAGAAAAGCATTCAGCAGCAAAAAAACTGACTTGCTAATTTCCCTGATCTTTCTCTTTGAGTACTTATAAACTTCCTAAATCAGCTAATCTCATGTCTTTTAACAGAGATGTGAACTTGTCAAAATGTATCAAAGTCCATCCCATTTGCATCTGTGGTTTTTGAAACGCCTACCTCTTGCTGCATTTCATGTGATCTTACGTAATGTTAGAGTATTACATTATTTCTTCTCATCCTACGCACAGGTGGCCCTCCAGTACATGCTGGAGCTCGTGTTGGGGTTTCTAATTCCCTACACGGTCATTGTAGTCAGCTACATCTGCATCTTGCGGCGGCTCCGACAAACCAAGTTTCGCCGTCGCATTCGTAGCGAGAAGCTCATCCTTGCCATCGTGTTGACATTCTGCCTCTTTTGGTTGCCTTACCACCTCGTCAATATGGTTCAAGTATGTCAAACATCCTCTTTAATGAGTAACACATTCTTCCAAGCATTGTATGTATAGAGTCTAAAGAGATTCTTTGAAATGCATCATGTGTCCAGAGAGTTTTCACTGCTACTAACAAAGCCATTTTTTGTTGTCTTCAGGTAACATGGGCGTTGTGTCCAAAGGGTCAAGTGAAAGAGACGTAAGTGATGACACAACAACTTGCCTGCATCTTATGTATTATAGCTAATATTATTCCCTGGTTCTCTATTTGCTAAGCTAAGAGCTAAGCATCACATATTTAGATACCAGGAAATAAACAAATTGTAATCCAAACATGTGATGTACTAAGCTGTCATATGTATATCCTAATACTAATAAAACACTTTATTTATAGTCTTTATGCACAATTAGTACTACTTTTGATACTTGAGTTCATTTAGCTTCTTCTGCACCTTTACTTAAGTAACATTTTGAATTTAGGAATACACTTGTGATGAAGTATGTTTAGACTGTGGTATTAGTACTTTTACTTAAGTAGAGTATCTAAGTACTTTTAGCACTGATGCATAGTATGTGACACTTTTCCGCACATTTCAAAGAAACAAAGTTATTTTTCTTTAATAAAAGGCTCTCTCCTTCTCAACCCTCCAGGCTGAATTTAATATGGCACAAGAGCCGAGCGGTCACCTCTGCCATCGCCTTCATCAGCAGCTGTGCCAACCCAGTCCTGTACTTCTTCGCAGGAAAGTCCTACATCCGACGAGAAGGGCTTGCGTTCATGGCTCGCTTATTTGAGGGCACAGCGCTGGACTCGGCCACCAGAAAGAGCCGACAGAACAGCCAGAACAGCCGCGAAAAAGACAAAGAGGCAGATGCTGTAATGCTTAAGGAAAAAGATCAAGACTCTAGCTCTAATGCCAAACCTGTAAAAAATGGTAAGAGGACTCAAGAGGAGCAGGCTTGATGCTGGTGTTGTTTCCCTGGAGCACAACATTAAACGACGCAAGCCTTTTTACCTACGTTCGCAAAACTTCGTCAGGGTTCATTGTGCAGCAAAGTTCCTGACACCTCAAGAAAGATCCATCCAAGAGGGAGTCTTCTCCTTTATTCACATTAAAAAAGAGATGTTTAATGGCATAATGATCCTGGAACAGTTTTGTAACCTGATGCACTAAGTGACATTGTTGTGTTTGAGTTTGAGCCTTAACCACATTATCTGTATATTTTTATTATACAGAATTATACAGAGCCTTGCTCTGTTTTGAACCATTTCGTATGGAAGAACTGTGGAGTTTACTGTACATTTTTTTTTTTAACATCAAATTGATTTTTTAATTGCAAATTGTATCATGTTATGTTTCATATGTACATACACCAAAATGTCAAAATGAATGAAAACAGTGACAAAAACTATTTGTTGGCTAAATCATATAATCTGTGTAAAAGTTGATTTAATGTGAGTCAACAGTTACCAATCTAGACATTTGCACTGTAAACATTTATTTGGAGACGCGTTTGCGGCCAACTGATAAATGCATTGTCGTTTTAGCTCTGTTTTATGTCAACATTTTTGCTGTTGAGAGTAAATTCAGTTTTTGATGATGTTCTCCTGAAACCTGTGAGGGTTAATGAGGGTTAATCAGAACAGTGAATTGTTGGCATGAATGTCAAAACAATGCGCTGAGGGACGCTTAAACACTCAATAGTGAGTCTCAACTGAAATGTTTTAATTCTCACTCTGAACAAAGAAAAATACAAAAAATAGAAAATGGGTATCATCTTGTAATGCAAATGTGACACATCTCAACTTCGTTATGTAACGGGGGTTATGTGGTACGAGGAATATGCTGTACATCTGCCAAGATTTCTGGTGAAAGAGCAGATTATGCAGATGGTAGAGATATGCTTCAACACTCATGTACCAACAAGATCCTGACAGTATACTGGAATTTTCCAGTATATCGTCAACATGTTTTCGATAAAGCTGGAATGCATACACTACCTGTATCATATAAGCAGAAAGCAATGAGTAGGAGGAACAACCGCTACAACAATATTTTAACTTAGTTGTTTCTCTCCACACTCTTCAAAGGAGAAAGCCTGGGAGTTAACAGCAGATCAGGAAAGGTTTCAAATAGGTTTACATTTGTACATTTTTCAAGTGGACTTACCGTTGTGGGCTTTAAAAGAGATCAGCAGTAAGGTCAGTATGCAAATGTTACTTGTTAATATATTACACCTAAAATATATTTATTTTGGAGTCTGACCGAAACATTTCACGTCTAATACAAATGTTGTACTGAAATCTCTTTTATAAGTTTCCTGTATGTTTTTATAAAATGTTAAATCAGTCAGACAAAACTAAATGTTAAGTTAAAAATACTCATGAACATGACTGTTTCTGATTTTGTTTTCCAACACAAAGACTGCAGCTCTCTGTTGCTGTCTGTCCGGAGACAAGAAGATTTGAAGTTAAATATAGATTTGAGTTGTTTAGAATAAAGTTCAAAAGTTCACAGTTTTCCATACTTACAGTAAGTTGCCCTGTTAGTAATTTGTTGGTCTAAAACTGCACTAACACTCTCAGAATAATTTGTGAGACAATTTGGGAACATGTGCCTCTACTTATAAGGAGCTGTCTCCCAGGTATAAGAGAAACAAAGGAAATATTAGTCTACATTTAAATGGTGTCCTTTGACACTGATCAGAAAAACTTGAAATTAAAAGATATATCAGACATTTGAAGCTTTCCCCTCTGTCTTATTTGGCAAATGGCATACAAATGAAATAGAAGTAGGGACAACATACAGGAAGTGAAACATTAATCTAGAAATTAGGTAAAAGTATTTCTTTTGTATTCATGTTCAGTCATTTTCCATTTGTCTGATGCACAAAATTCAAACATAACGCACAAAAGTCTTATTGGGTGAAACATTTCAAGCATCTTTGTTATCAAGATGTGTAAAAAGTGATATCGTATCAATCCTTACCATCTGGAAAAAGGCAGTTAAAACCTGTTAAGCCCTAGAGCCCCCTGTACAGGGGGCAGTGGGGTGTTTTTTCACGAAACTGTGTCTCAGGGCTTCTTAATATTTAAAAACCTATTAATGATGTGTCATACCCATTTAACTGGAAGAAACTCAGCTAACTGACAATACGAACCATTTTTACCGAAACAAAACACAAGTCTCACAAGAAGCGTCTAAATGAACCCTGAGCGAAAAAATGCTAACACACTTACCACAGAACTCAAGGTAAAAATACCCTTATTACTTATCGTAACTGCAAAAAAAAAGCTGAGATTCCACAGATTCTATAGGTATAAGTATCATCACTGAGCGATCAGAACTCGTGACAACACGTGAATTACAGAACATTCACGGGAAATCGTCTCAAATTAGCTGTTATTCTGATCAATAGTCGTGTTCAATGGCATTAAAATGATAAAAACGCCGCTGAAGGTTAATCCATAGGTTAATCCAATGTGTCTGTGTCACTTTGAAAGGATTACTGATAATCCATCATTGCATTTTTATGTAAAAAACGGAGATTTCATATTATTTTTATTTTTATAAATCTCTCTAAAGAGGTCAAATGTCACTTATTTTGCATCAATCTTGATACAGGGTACTTATTATATGTTGTAGTTTGGATTCCTAAAGCTTTTAGTCTACTAACCCATCATCCAAGGGTGGTTTTCACTATAAGTAATGGGTTTTTTGTAGGCAGAGGTAAGAATTTACCTTTTTTTACAATGTTCCATCTGAAGTTACTCTCACACAGAAACATCTCTATTGATTCTGACACTTCTACATCCAACTCACAGATGTAAACTTGCTTTGAGAAAAAAGATTATTAATTGAACCCTTTTAGAAGTGAAGTTATAGTCATTTGTTCTGGGCATGTCATTTTCTAGCCTGAAACCTGAAAAACAGGCTCAGGGCTTAACTGATCTTTTGAGGTCCATGTTTGCTGATAACAGGCAACATCACTTTCTATAAATATGTAGTGTAGATTTAGAGTAGCAGATAAGGTAAAAACTTGTTTAACCTTTCGAAGCATTGACACACATTGGCACCTAATTCATTTTCTGTTTAAAAGGTTGTGTACATGTCACAGTGGTCAAAGCCTCACTCAGATTCTTCTCAGGCTTTCCTGATGGCATCCAATATCACCACCACCATCTCCCAGCAGTCCTCCTCTTCGTCTGTTCCTCTGTCCATCAACGACATGGTCGGCATCGCCATCTTGACCCTGGCCTTTGTGCTGGGCTTCCCTGGGAACCTGTTTGTTGTTTGGACAGTGTTGTGCCGGATGAAGATGCGCTCAGTGACCTGTTTGCTGGTGCTGAATCTGAGTATGGCGGATGCTTTCTTGCTGCTCAGCGCCCCTTTTTTCCTGCACTACCTGGCTGGAGGACGAGGCTGGGAGTTTGGCTCGGCAGCATGCAAGCTGGTGCATTACCTATCGAGTGTGAACATGTACGTGTCCATCTACCTCATCTGCCTGATGAGCATGGACCGCTGGCTGGCCGTGTCCAGGCCGTTTCAGTTCCAGAAAATGAGAACCAAGCGCTCCCTCCTGATTATTCTGCTTGTTGTCTGGGTGTTAGCGTTGCTCCTGTCACTCCCGATGCCATTCTACCGCAGGTGAGACAAAAATGTGTCTTTTCTTGAAATATATCTAGTTTCTCATTTTATAAAGGCTAGTTTGTAATGGTAATACTATAATGAGGGCTGGTTAATCCATTCGAGCATTAATTATGTGAATTTACAGACTGGAGATGAGGAGTACTTTCCCAAACAATATCACTTTGAGCTTCTGCGTGCCGTACCACTGGAAGAGCAAGGGTCATCGGGTCTTCCAGTACCTGTTTGAAACCATCATGAGCTTCCTGCTGCCTTTCTCCCTCATCATCACCTGTAACTCCTCCGTCATCTGTCGTCTGCAGAGTGCCAAGTTCCAGTGCCGAGCAGAAGGCAGCCGCCTCATCCTGATGGTCATCTGTACCTTTGCAGTATTCTGGCTGCCGTATCACATCGTCAACATCATAGAGGTGAGTTTTACTCATAATTTTGTTGATCAGAGTTTGACTTACATGGGCTAGAAATGTCTCCTGATTCTATTATATGCCATACTGTACATGTGCTTTATGTGCAGGTATCGGACGTTTCTCACGGGTAAAACAAGACAATAATACAAGGATATGATGTTGTGGTGACCATGTCCACTTTCAATATACAGTCCATTGCTGTGTGAGTGACACACTGTGAGGATCTGGGCGCTGTGGATTGCCTCCGGCGCTAGCTCCTCCTGCGTCTCCCCAGAAGTTACTTCTATACGCTTTGTTGTCATTTCCACTGTCAAGCATCTAATTTTGGCCTGGTGGATCCTGTTTCAGTTCTTGCATACATGTTCTGATGCTCAAGCTTGAACACATCATCAGTGTAGTTTCCTGGAGTCATTGGGTGTTTCGGGGGCTTGCAACAGACAACCCTCTTCCAGGCAACCCAACCAAGGTTGATCAGGCCCGCCTCTCCCTACACGCAGATCACGCAGATTGTGTGGGGCCTCACCTCGCGGAGAGCGCCTCATTTAATGCGCAAATGCACCGCAATTAAGCGCGCCGCAGTTTCGCGCGCCGCAGTTTCGCCGCTCCACTAGCAGCCCCTACCCCCCCCGTCGACGTTCGCGACACAGAGGGCCTCATCACATAACTTTGTGTGGGGCCACAAGTTGGCCAGGGGCAGCCCTCCATGCGATAGTGCCCCTCGCTCAGTGCCTTGGAGCAGCTGTGTTGCGCTCCCAAGTCTGGCCCTGCCCTGTGCCACACTCCCAATGAGGTCCTTGTGCTTCAACCGAGCCTCCGCCTGCTGGACTGCATCGGTCTTCCTCAAATTCCTCCCTGTCCGCAGATCATTCCCTGTGCATTCCACTTTGGAGTCCCTCGATCCTGTGGTCTTCAGATGTTCTCGTGACCATGCCACAATAAATTTCTCCTTGACCAAGCTGAAGGGGGAGCTTGAGTTTATTGCTGTTCCCATAAATCCCAATGCTGCTCAGGCCCCAGGGGAACTTCATAGATAAGCAGAGGCCATGAGGATTCACACTATGCAGCTGATTCCGCTTTGCTGTTTCTTCAATATTGTATTATGTGACTGAAAATCAACACTTCCTGCTGATATATTTCCATATTTAAAGTCCTACAGTGGCTCTTAGCTTTTTATATGAAACTGCTACAGGTAAATACATCTTTTATTTTTTAACCCAAATTGAGAAAAAAGGGCCATAGTAAAACTGACACTCTGACGCTCTTCTGCTCAATTGATGGAGTAAGAGCTGTGGAAATATACATGAGGGGGAATTTACCAGAGCAGTTATGTGATTTATTTATTAATATCCCCCCTCTTCTCCCTTCAACAGGTGGTGGGCCTTTTGCAGGACAGTAAATCCGCTGTTACAGCCGCCCTTGCAGCCCGTCCAAATGTCACGGCATTCGCTTTCTTCAGCAGTGCGGTCAATCCCATTTGCTACGTGTTTGCCGGCAGCTCCCACATCCGCCAGGCCGGCTTCAGCTTCATGGGCAAGCTCTTCGAGGCCACCAACTCGGAGAACAGGACCACGTATACATTGACCCGGAGCGGACACTTTAACCGCAGATCTACAGCTCTACACCGGACGAGCGCTCCGCCCTGAACATCCTGTCGATGAAACTGGGGAGACTGTTCAGCAAGCACAAGGACACGAGCGGCAGCGTGGCGGGAAAAGAGGCGGACGAGCCTGAACTCAGGACTCTGGCCAGCCAACTAAACTGATACACTGTGTTGACTCATACATTGAATTATAGGATGTATTTCCTTGACATTTGGTACAAAAAGTATTTATGCCTATAAGATGAATCCTAATGGTCTGGCCAACGTGTTTTTTTTTTTTTAAATCAATCAAATAAAAATATATCTGTGAACATTTGATGGATTGGTGCATACTTGTGTATAGACATTCATAGTCCCCATGATGAACTCTAATGACTTTAGAGATCCCCTGACTCATCCTCTATGCCCACCGTGATAAATGTGTGTTGTTTAATGAAATTGACAATAATTGGATCGATTGTCATACATGTTGGTACACCCAATAACGTCATACTGTAGCACCACTGTACCTTTGTATGTCCCTTGCTATCTTACAAAATAAAAGTGTCACATTGATGAAACTTGCTCCATTCATTTGTACTAGTCCTACAACTATACCCTGAAAAATGCTTGAGGGTGGGATTAATACAAACATCTTTTTGGGTGGGGTGCATTTTATGACAGGCCTGGTTATCACAATATTCCCCCCCTTGCTATCTTACAAAATAAAAGTGTCACATTCATGAAACTTGTTCCATTTATTGGTACTAGTCCTACAACTATACCCTAAAAGATGCTTGACGGTGGGATTAATAGAAACATCTTTTTTTTGGGGGGGGTGCATTTTATGACAGGCCTGGTTATCACAATATGCCCCCCCTTGCTATCTTACAAAATAAAAGTGTCACACTGATGAAACTTGCTCCATTCATTGGTACTAGTCCTACAACTATACCCTGAAAAATACTTGAGGGTGGGAATAATAGAAACATCTTTTTGGGTGGGGTGCATTTTATGACAGGCCTGGTTATCACAATATGCCCCCCCTTGCTATCTTACAAAATACAAGTGTCACATTCATGAAACTTGCTCCATTCATTGGTACTAGTCCTACAACTATACCCTGAAAAAAGCTTGAGGGTGGGATTAATACAAACATCTTTTGGGGTGGGATGCATTTTATGACAGGCCTGGTTATCACAATATGCCCCCCCTTGGTATCTTACAAAATAAAAGTGTCACATTCATGAAACTTGCTCCATTCATTGGTACTAGTCCTACAACTATACCCTGAAAAATGCTTGAGGGTGGGAATAATAGAAACATCTTTTTGGGTGGGGTGCATTTTATGACAGGCCTGGTTATCACAATATGCCCCCCCTTGCTATCTTACAAAATAAAAGTGTCACATTCATGAAACTTGCTCCATTTATTGGTACTAGTCCTACAACTATACCCTAAAAAATGCTTGAGGGCGGGATTAATACAAACATCTTTTTTTTGGGGGGGGGGTGCATTTTATGACAGGCCTGGTTATCACAATAGGCCCCCCCTTGCTATCTTACAAAATAAAAGTGTCACATTCATGAAACGTGCTCCATTCATTGGTACTAGTCCTACAACTATACCCTGAAAAATGCTTGAGGGTGGGATTAATACAAACATCTTTTTGGGTGGGGTGCATTTTATGACAGGCCTGGTTATCACAATATTACCCCCCTTGCTATCTTACAAAATAAAAGTGTCACATTGATGAAACGTGCTCCATTCATTGGTACTAGTCCTACAACTATACCCTGAAAAATGCTTGAGGGTGGGAATAATACAAACATCTTGTTGGGTGGGGTGCATTTTATGACAGGCCTGGTTATCACAATATGCCCCGCCTTGCTATCTTACAAAATAAAAGTGTCACATTCATGAAACTTGCTCCATTTATTGGTACTAGTCCTACAACTATACCCTAAAAAATGCTTGAGGGTGGGATTAATACAAACATTTGTTTGGGTGGGGTGCATTTTATGACAGGCCTGGTTATCTCAATATGCCCCCCCCTTGCTATCTTACAAAATAAAAGTGTCACATTCATGAAACTTGCTCCATTCATTGGTACTAGTCCTACAACTATACCCTGAAAAATGCTTGAGGGTGGGATTAATACAAACATATTGTTGGGTGGGGTGCATTTTATGACAGGCCTGGTTATCACAATATGCCCCCCCTTGCTATCTTACAAAAGAAAGGTGTCACATTCATGAAACTTGCTCCATTTATTGGTACTAGTCCTACAACTATACCCTAAAAAATGCTTGAGGGTGGGATTAATACAAACATCTTTTTGGGTGTGGTGCATTTTATGACAGGCCTGGTTATCACAAAATATGTTTCATTTCACATGAGCTCCACACTGGTGGATCAATGATCCATTGCAGCTGGCTTCATTATAATTACATTTATTAATCAAGGGGGCGGTCTCAAGTCACGCTGGAGGTTATCCTTTGAGCGAGGGCAGAGCCCGTGCCGATCACGGCCCTCGCATTTTAAACTGTCCGAAATGAGGTGCTACATCTGTAAGTGTCAGTGGAGTTCCCCTTAAATAAAGTGGAGTTATTTTTTGTAACTAACTGACAGTATAAAAATAATAGAAAAGGGGAAAAAAGGTCAAGAAAAAATGAAAGCGTCAAGATAGTACCTTTTATATTTAGTATATCAACCTAAGAGGTGACGTGAAATAAAACTAATTGCATAAAAAATGCACTGAATTTTCCTGACAACAAAGAGGAATCTAACCTTTGTTTAAATTGTCTCTGTCTGTGATATAGAGCTCAACAGCTCCCCCAAATGTCAAGAATAAAAAAAAGTAAACTTTTTCTAAACATCAATCTGGATGTGGCATGAAAGGTAAGATGGTCAAACGCTATAGTTATTACGTTATTGCTATGAAAAGTATTTTATTTTGATAGGGCAGACTGTGCCGGAAGATGAGCACATTGCTAATTAGAGACTGATTCGAAACACGCGCCACACCGAGAGCATACTGAAATGGCTTTATTTTTTGACTGTGTGACAATTAAGAAACTTCTTAGAAACTATTTAGCCATAAAAGAAACCTTCCAAAGAAAGTTCGGCAGACCATCAGCAGCAGAAAGATGACGCATCGAATTCAGGATACAGATTTAATTCTGCAGCTATGGGTGAGTCAAACAAAACAAGCTGCAGGCATGTTGGGTAGCTAAGCAGAACAAAGCACTGCAACCTCCTAATCTTTTCACATCTTTATCTCTGTCTTAGAAATATATTCTCATGAACATTAAACATGCTATTAGTCTTTGTGTCTCTAAAGAGTAGGCTAATGCTAACATTAATTGGTAGGTTTATTGTCAGAATAGGCGGTTAGCTACAAGCTACAACTAGCTACAACTTTCTATTTTTTTCAAAAAAGCGTCATGCAATTCTATGCATGTAGTTTCTCAATTGTGACAATTTTAAAGGGCATGTTTTAGTTTTGTCGGTATAAAATGAAAGATATAGTAGCCTCGTATATCATTATAAAATAAGTTCAGTTGAAGCATGAGGATAGAATGTTAGTGTCTTGATATTTCATATTAAAATAAAAATATTGAAATATTTTGATGTTGAAGATATTGAACATTAGGCACAAACTACCAGCATCACTGTATGTGTGGTTTGTGAACCCCACTTGCTAATTCATGCACATATACAGGCACTCTGTCTATGTCTTTCATTTTTGTAAAGCACTTTGAATTGCCTTGGGTTGAAATGTGCTATATAAATAAACTTGCCTTGCCTTGCCTATACAGTGTATAGTCAAAATTCCATGTCTTGAATTCAGAAAGTAAAGCACTTATAATGTTATGTAATGATTTTAGGAACCAGGATCTAAAATGTTGGTGCCACATAGTATTGATACTTGTGTAAACCACTAGATGGAGTCAAAATGGCTTCTTTTAAATCAGAAAGGCTGCTATGTATGGAATGTTGTTCAAGACAAAATTAAATAAATACATAAATAATTCAATAAATATGCCTATGAAATAAATACATAAGGTTATGAAATACATTCTGAAATAAATAAATAAGGCAATAAATATAAATAAATGTACATTTTAAATACACATTTAGTTATTTCATGGGACTTTTATTTCATAATGCCACATTTATTTATTTCAGGGGACTTTTATTTCATAATGCCACATTTATTTATTTCAAGAGACTTTTATTTCATAATGCCACATTTATTTATTTCAGGGGACTTTTATTTCCAACCCGGTATCACGGCAAGACGTGAACATGTGACGATTTACCATGCTGGGAGACATGAAGATGTCACGATTTCGTCCCTTCAAACGTGACAGTTACACCGTATTGTTAACATGGCCCAACCAGTGGAGAAATACCCAGAAATGCCAAGCAAATGTGGGGCGTGGTCAGCTGCAGCTCATTTTCATTAAAGCTACGTCACATAATCAGCCCTTGCAAAAACAGGGCTGGAAAAGAGCAAATAGAGCGAAATGAGGCATGGCTAAAATGCATGATCTGTTTGGTATTTTGAAAAAATCACTTCACAGACATGTTTTATATAGGTATGGCCCTACAATATATTTTTCAAATATAGCATGATAGGTCCACTTTAAAGGTGGGGTAGGTAAGTTTGAGAAACCGGCTCGAGATACACTTTTTGTTATATTCCATGGAATGCTCTTAACATCCCGATAGCAATAAATATCTTAAGTGCTTTGACAAAAAATCCATACAAAAATTTCATCTGTGGAAGCTGTAATACTGTAAAAAGCACGACCAATCATTTTAGCCGGCCCGGCTAAAATAACTGGATGGCCTACCTGCCTGTCAGCCTTCCATCTGTGCACAAACTTATCTCGTGCCCTCATTGGTCATGTGCGCGTTCGTGTGTGTTGGAGGAGGGGCTCTATAAGGAAGTGGCAGATTTTCTCCGGTTGTGTATTTTCAAATTCTAGCGATCTCGAGCCGGTTTCTCAAACTTACCTACCCCACCTTTAAGTAGAGTATCTAAGTACTTTTAGCACTGATGCATAGTATGTGACACTTTTCCGCACATTTAAAAAGAAACAAAGTTATTTTTCTTTAATAAAAGGCTCTCTCCTTCTCAACCCTCCAGGCTGAATTTAATATGGCACAAGAGCCGAGCGGTCACCTCTGCCATCGCCTTCATCAGCAGCTCTGCCAACCCAGTCCTGTACTTCTTCGCAGGAAAGTCCTACATCCGACGAGAAGGGCTTGCGTTCATGGCTCGCTTATTTGAAGGCACAGCGCTGGACTCGGCCACCAGAAAGAGCCGACAGAACAGCCAGAACAGCCGCGAAAAAGACAAAGAGGCAGATGCTGTAATGCTTAAGGAAAAAGATCAAGACTCTAGCTCTAATGCCAAACCTGTAAAAAATGGTAAGAGGACTCAAGAGGAGCAGGCTTGATGCTGGTGTTGTTTCCCTGGAGCACAACATTAAACGACGCAAGCCTTTTTATCTACGTTCGCAAAACTTCGTCAGGGTTCATTGTGCAGCAAAGTTCCTGACACCTCAAGAAAGATCCATCCAAGAGGGAGTCTTCTCCTTTATTCACATTAAAAAAGAGATGTTTAATGGCATAATGATCCTGGAACAGTTTTGTAACCTGATGCACTAAGTGACATTGTTGTGTTTGAGTTTGAGCCTTAACCACACTATCCGTATATTTTTATTATACAGAATTATACAGAGCCTTGCTCTGTTTTGAACCATTTCGTATGGAAGAACTGTGGAGTTTACTGTACATTTTTTATTTTAACATCAAAATGATTTTTTAATTGCAAATTGTATCATGTTATGTTTCATATGTACATACACCAAAATGTCAAAATGAATGACAGTGACAAAAACTATTTGTTGGCTAAATCCTATAATCTGTGTAAAAGTTGATTTAATGTGAGTCAACAGTTACCAATCTAGACATTGCACTGTAAACATTTATTTGGAGACGCGTTTGCGGCCAACTGATAAATGCAAGTAAAGCATTCATTGTCCTTGTAGCTCTGTTTTGTGTCAACACTTTTGCTGTTGAGAGTAAATTCAGTTTTTCCACTTGGTGCTAAGCAGGTATTGTACAGTCTTTTTATGAATGTTTTTTTACATGAAAAACGTCCTTGTTCTGCTTAAATTATGAGAACAGTGAGGGTTAATCAGAACAGTGAATTGTTGGCATGAATGTCAAAACAATGCGCTGAGGGACGCTTAAACACTCAATAGTGAGTCTCAACTGAAACATTTTAATTCTCACTCTGAACAAAGAAAAATACAAAAAATACAAAATGAAGGGTATCATCTTGTAATGCAAATGTGACACATCTCAACTTCGTTATGTAACGGGGGTTATGTGGTACGAGGAATATGCTGTCATCTGCCAAGATTTCTGGTGAAAGAGCAGATAATGCAGATGGTAGAGATATGCTTCAACACTCATGTACCAACAAGATCCTGACAGTTTACTGGAATATTCACCCACTAAATCTCCCTCATGACGATCACCTGTGACGATAATTGTATTGTTTTTTCTCTGAAATAATGCCACCAGTTCTACAAGATTTTCTCTCCATGATATTCACTATTTTCTGTCATAAGGAGGAACTGTTTCGCTGCCTCGATTGTTTGTGTTCCAAACAGGTTTCAGGTGTCAAAATGTTTTCGATAAAGCTGGAATGCATACAATACCAGTATCATATAAGCAGAAAGCAATGAGTAGGAGGAACAACCGCTACAATAATATTTGAACTTTGTTGTTTCTCTACACACTCTTCAAATGAGAAAGCCTGGGAGTTAACAGCAGATCAGGAAAGGTTTCAAATAGGTTTACATTTGTACATTTTTCAAGTGGACTTACCGTCGTGGGCTTTAAAAGAGATCAGCAGTAAGGTCAGTATGCAAATGTTACTTGTTAATATATTACACCTAAAATATATTTATTTTGGAGTCTGACCGAAACATTTCACGTCTAATACACATTTTGGACTGAAATCTCTTTTATAAGTTTCCTGTATATTTTTATAAAATGTTAAATCAGTCAGACAAAACTAAATGTTAAGTTAAAAATACTCATGAACATGACTGTTTCTGATTTTGTTTTCCAACACAAAGACTGCAGCTCTCTGTTGCTGTCTGTCCGGAGACAAGAACATTTGAAGTTAAATATAGATTTTAATTGTTTAGAATAAAGTTCAAAGGTTCACAGTTTTCCATACTTACAGTAAGTTGCCTTGTTAGTAATTTGTTGGTCTGAGACAATTTGGGAAAATGTGCCTCTACTTATAAGGAGCTGTCTCCCGGGTATACTGTAAGAGAAACAAAGGAAATATTCGTCTACATTTCAATGGTGTCCTTTGACACTGATCAGAAACACTTGAAATTAAAAGATATATCAGAAATGTGAAGCTTTCCCCTCTGTCTTATTTGGCAAATGGCATACAAATGAAATAGAAGTAGGGACAACATACAGGAAGTGAAACATTAATCTAGAAATTAGGTAAAAGTATTTCTTTTTTATTCATGTTCAGTCATTTTCCATTTGTCTGATGCACAAAATTCAAACATAGCGCACACAAGTCTTATAGGGTGAAACATTTCAAGCATCTTTGTTATCAAGATGTGTAAAAAGTGATATTGTATCAATCCTTAGCATCTGGAAAAAGGCAGTTAATGATCTTTTGAGGTCCATGTTTGCTGATAACAGGCAACATCACTTTCTATAAATATGTAGTGTAGATTTAGAGTAGCAGATAAAATAAAACATGTTTAATCTTTCGAAGCATCAACACACATTGGCACCTAATTCATTTTCTGTTTAAAAGGTTGTGTAAATGTCACAGTGGTCAAAGCCTCACTCAGATTCTTCTCAGGCTTTCCTGATGGCATCCAATATCACCACCACCATCTCCCAGAAGTCCTCCTCTTCGTCTGTGCCTCTGTCCATCAACGACATGGTCGGCATCGCCATCTTGACCCTGGCCTTTGTGCTGGGCTTCCCTGGGAACCTGTTTGTTGTTTGGACAGTGTTGTGCCTGATGAAGAAGCGCTCAGTGACCTGTTTGCTGGTGCTGAATCTGAGTATGGCGGATGCTTTCTTGCTGCTCAGCGCCCCTTTTTTCCTGCGCTACCTGGCTGGAGGACGAGGCTGGGAGTTTGGCTCGGCAGCATGCAAGCTGGTGCATTACCTATCGAGTGTGAACATGTACGTGTCCATCTACCTCATCTGCCTGATGAGCATGGACCGCTGGCTGGCCGTGTCCAGGCCGTTTCTGTTCCATACAATGAGAACCAAGTGCTCCCTCCTGATTCTTCTGCTTGTTGTCTGGATGTTAGCGTTGCTCCTGTCAGTCCCGATGCCTTTCTACCGCAGGTGAGACAAAAATGTGTCTTTTCTTGAAATATATCTAGTTTCTCATTTTATAAAGGCTAGTTTGTAATGGTAATACTGTAATGAGGGCTGGTTAATCCATTCGAGCATTAATTATGTGAATTTACAGACTGGAGATGAGGAGTACTTTCCCAAACAATATCACTTTGAGCTTCTGCGTACCGTACCACTGGAAGAGCAAGAGTCATCGGGTCTTCCAGTACCTGTTTGAAACCATCGTGGGCTTCCTGCTGCCTTTCTCCCTCATCAACACCTGTAACTCCTCCGTCATCTGTCGTCTGCAGAGTGCCAAGTTCCAGCGCCGACCACAAGGCAGCCGCCTCATCCTGATGGTCATCTGTACCTTTGCAGTATTCTGGCTGCCGTATCACATCGTCAACATCATAGAGGTGAGTTTTACTCATAATTTTGTTGATCAGAGTTTGACTTACATGGGCTAGAAATGTCTCCTGATTATATTATATGCCATACATGTGCTTTATGTGCAGGCATCGGACGTTTCCCATGGGTAAAACAAGACAATAATAAAAGGATATGATGTTGTGGTGACCATGTCCACTTTCAATATACAGTCCATTGCTGTGGGCGACACTGGGAGGATCTGGGCGCTGTTGATCGCCTCCGGCCCTAGCTCCTCCTGCGTCTCCCCAGAATTTACTTCGATACGCTTTGTTGTCATTTCCGCTGTCAAGCACCTAATTTTGGCCCAGTGGATCCTTCAGCCCCTCTTGAAGGTTCTACCAGGGTGTTTCAGTTCTTGCATACATGTTCTGATGCTCAAACTTGGTCACCCTTTTTCAGTTAGATGCTCTCTCTGCTGCCTTGCTCTTGATGGCTCTTCTCCTGCATGCTGCCTTGATGCACAGCGTTCTATAGGTCCTGCTGAGTGCACTGGCATGTACCTGGTCTTCCAATTGATCCTGCAGCAGTCCTGAACTACATCCTGGTACTTTGCCCTCTTTCTCTCTCGCGCCTCCTCCATCCTTTTCCTCATAGGGCACAGCCCCATCAAGATGAGCTGTCTAGTGTCCTCAGAGCCCAATATGAGGTCTGGTTTCAGTGGACTTGATGCTGTGTGGTGGAATCTTCTGCTACCTTTCCAGGTCAACTGTCATCCCCCAGTCTCGGGCCATGGAGAGCCAAGTCCTTTGGTCTTTTCTTCAGCCGCTTACCCACCTAGTAACAACATGATGGGTTTTTCAGTAGCGTTGGTGTGCTTTCACTGATCTCCATGTGAAAGCATCTCCGTGTCGGATGGATGTTGCGCTCCCAAGTCTGGCCCTGCCCTGTGCCACACTCCCAATGAGGTCCTTGTGCTTCAACCGAGCCTCCGCCTGCTGGACTGCCTCGGTCTTCCTCAAATTCCGCCCTGTCCGCAGAACAATCCCTGTGCCTTCCACTTTGGAGTCCCTCGATCCTGACAGTAAAAACTGAAATACAGAAAAATTTAAAAAATGAAGGGAATCATCTCATAATGCAATCGGACACATCTCAACTTCGTTATGCAACAAGGGTTATGTGGTATGAGGAATACTACATCTGCCAAGATTTCTGGTGAAAGAGCAGATAATGGAGATATGCTTCAACACTCATGAACCAACAAGATCCTGACAGCTTACCGGAATATTCACCCACTCACTAAATCTCCCTCATGACGGATTTGGCTGGTCTGGGTCAGATTCCAGGGCTGAATTTTAGTCCCAGTCCGCCCCTGGGAACAACAGCTACATTACAACCAAATGTTCTTAAGCTTGATTCCTGTGGTCACCGAGCTTCCTCTTACATAAACCCTCTTTCTCAATATATAAACGTTGCTGTTTCTCTCCACACTCTTCAAAGGAGAAAGCCTGGGAGTTAACAGCAGATCAGGAAAGGTTTCAAATAGGTTTACATTCGTACATTTTTCAAGTGGACTTACCATCGTGGGCTTTAAAAGAGATCAGCAGTAAGGTCAGTATGCAAATGTTACTTGTTAATATATTACACCTAAAATATATTTATTTTGGCGTCTGACCGAAACATTTCACGTCTAATACACATTTTGGACTGAAATCTCTTTTATAAGTTTCCTGTATATTTTTATAAAATGTTAAATCAGTCAGACAAAACTAAATGTAAAGTTAAAAATACTCATGAACATGACTGTTTCTGATTTTGTTTTCCAACACAAAGACTGCAGCTCTCCGTTGCTGTCTGTCCGGAGACAAGAACATTTGAAGTTAAATATAGATTTTAATTGTTTAGAATAAAGTTCAAAAGTTCACAGTTTTCCATACTTACAGTACATGTAAGTTGCCTTGTTAGTAATTTGTTGGTCTGAGACAATTTGGGAAAATGTGCCTCTACTTATAAGGAGCTGTCTCCCGGGTATACTGTAAGAGAAACAAAGGAAATATTCGTCTACATTTCAATGGTGTCCTTTGACACTGATCAGAAAAACTTGAAATTAAAAGATATATCAGAAATGTGAAGCTTTCCCCTCTGTCTTATTTGGCAAATGGCATACAAATGAAATAGAAGTAGGGACAACATACAGGAAGTGAAACATTAATCTAGAAATTAGGTAAAAGTATTTCTTTTTTATTCATGTTCAGTCATTTTCCATTTGTCTGATGCACAAAATTCAAACAGCACACAAAAGTCTTATAGGGTGAAATATTTCAAGCATCTTTGTTATCAAGATGTGTAAAAAGTGATATCGTATCAATCCTTACCATCTGGAAAAAGGCAGTTAATGATCTTTTGAGGTCCATGTTTGCTGATAACAGGCAACATCACTTTCTATAAATATGTAGTGTAGATTTGGAGTAGCAGATGAGGTAAAAACATGTTTAACCTTTCGAAGCATTGACACACATTGGCACCTAATTCATTTTCTGTTTAAAAGGTTGTGTAAATGTCACAGTGGTCAAAGCCTCACTCAGATTCTTCTCAGGCTTTCCTGATGGCATCCAATATCACCACCACCATCTCCCAGCAGTCCTCCTCTTCGTCTGTTCCTCTGTCCATCAACCACATGGTCGGCATCGCCATCTTGACCCTGGCCTTTGTGCTGGGCTTCCCTGGGAACCTGTTTGTTGTTTGGACAGTGTTGTGCCGGGTGAAGAAGCGCTCAGTGACCTGTTTGCTGGTGCTGAATCTGAGTATGGCGGATGCTTTCTTGCTGCTCAGCGCCCCTTTTTTCCTGCGCTACCTGGCTGGAGGACGAGGCTGGGAGTTTGGCTCGGCAGCATGCAAGCTGGTGCATTACCTATCGAGTGTGAACATGTACGTGTCCATCTACCTCATCTGCCTGATGAGCATGGACCGGTGGCTGGCCGTGTCCAGGCCGTTTCTGTTCCATACAATGAGAACCAAGTGCTCCCTCCTGATTCTTCTGCTTGTTGTCTGGATGTTAGCGTTGCTCCTGTCAGTCCCGATGCCTTTCTACCGCAGGTGAGACAAAAATGTGTCTTTTCTTGAAATATATCTAGTTTCTCAATTTATTTATCCATTAAAACATTATTATATTAAGTTACAGAATTGACTCTGCTTGGTATATCTACTTTAACATTGACTTTTTATTTGTGTGTTTTTCCTCTTTTTCTCTGTAAGTAATCTGAAGAAGACTTTCCCAAACAATATCACTTTGAGCTTCTGCGTGCCGTACCACTGGAAGAGCAAGGGTCATCGGGTCTTCCAGTACCTGTTTGAGACCATCATGGCCTGTCTGCTGCCTTTCTCCCTCATCAACACATGTTACTCCTCCGTCATCTGTCGTCTGCAGAGTGCCAAGTTCCAGCGCCGAGCACAAGGCAGCCACCTCATCCTGATGGTCATCTGTACCTTTGCAGTATTCTGGCTGCCGTATCACATCGTCAACATCATAGAGGTGAGTTTTACTCATAATTTTGTTGATCAGAGTTTGACTTACATGGGCTAGAAATGTCTCCTGATTATATTATATGCCATATATGTGCTTTATGTGCAGGTATCGGACGTTTCCCACGGGTAAAACAAGACAATAATACAGGGATATGATGTTGTGGTGACCATGTCCACTTTCAATATACAGTCCATTGCTGTGGGCGACCCTTCCACTTTGGAGTCCCTCGATCCTGTGTTCTTCAGATGTTCTCGTGACCATGCCACAATACATTCCTCCTTGACCAAGCTGAAGGGGGAGCTTGAGCTTATTGCTGTTCCCATAAATCGCAATGCTGCTCAGGCCCCAGGGGAACTTCATAGATAAGCAGAGGCCAGAGGATTCACACTATGCAGCTGATTCCGCTTTGCTGTTTCTTCAATATTGTATTATGTGACTGAAAATCAACACTTCCTGCTGATATATTTCCATATTTAAAGTCCTACAGTGGCTCTTAGTTTTTTATATGAAACTGCTACAGGTAAATACATCTTTTGTTTTTCAACCCAAATTGAGAAAAGAGGGGCATAGTAAAACTGACACTAATGAACAAGTGAGCTGAGTATGACACTCTGACGCTCTTCTGCTCAATTGATGGAGTAAGGGCTGTGGAAATATCCATGAGGGTGAATTTACCAGAGCAGTTATGTGATTTATTTATTAATCTCCCCCCTCTTCTCCCTTCAACAGGTGGTGGGCCTTTTGCAGGACAGTAAATCCACTGTTACAGCCGCCCTTGCAGCCCGTCCAAATGTCACGGCATTCGCTTACTTCAGCAGTGCGGTCAATCCCATTTTATACGTGTTTGCTAGCAGCTCCCACATCTGCCAGGACGGCTTCAGCTTCATGGGCAAGCTCTTCGAGGCCACCAACTCGGAGAAAAGGACCACGTCTACCTTCCCCCGGACCGGACACATTAACCGCAGATGCTCTACACCGGACGAGCGCTCCGCCCTGAACACCCTGTCGATGAAACTGGGGAGGCTGTTCAAAAGCAAGGAAAAGGACATGAGTGGTGGGGTGGCGGGAAAAGAGGCGGACGAGCTTGAACTCAGGACACTGGCCATCCAACTAAACTGATTACACTGTGTTGACTCATGAGTTGAATTGTAAGAGATTTTTCTTACATAACTTTTATATCAGGAAATATTCAAACAACTATTGTATGTATTTCCTTGTAAGCACTATCATATCATCATTTCATTTCATTTATTCGTTTATTTGAAGAGGAACAATGCACATTGATGAACATCTTTAACAATTAATGCTTCAAAATGTAAATATGCCGGATTTTAGCATTTAGCTAATTTCCATCCGTAGTCCCTCACATACAACATTTAAGAACATGACATTCATATACATAGCAAAAATAAATACATGGTATGCAGAAAGAGCATGTGCAGCATATACAAGCATTAACCACATGGCAGTACAATGTAGCAGCTACGACGTATAACGTGCAAGAGAAGATAAAAGAGCTACCGAACGTGCAAAAGGAGATACCCCTGTATTAAAGTGCATTTAGCGGTGATTGCACGTTTGTTTGTTTCTCAACTATTCTTTTAGTTAAACTTTAAAACTGTTCAAAGTGGGACAATCCCGTATCTCAGTTGGGAGGCTATTCCACAATGAGCTGCCCTTAATTGATAGTATACATTTTGACCGAAAGTGGTCCGTCTACGGTGGACTTCACAGTCTCCTCTGGTTTCTGACCTAGTGCAGCATCCAGTGCGTTTTTTGTGGATGAATTCCTCTAAGGGAGGGGGGGCCAGTCCATGTAAACATTTATAAAAAAAACAGTTTACTTTTAAAAGACTTAAAATTGTCAAAACTCAAGAAATTGTGTTTTTCAAGGATGGTACAGTGGTGGTATGAATTTGGCTTTCTGTCAAACACCTTGATAGCTCTCTTGTACAGCTGTTCTATGGGTTTCAGGTTTGTGGCACAAGCAAACGACCAGTTTGTCAAACAGTATTCAATGTGGGATAGAATCATAGAGTGGAAATTATGACTTTGCAGCATTGACAGTTCAGTCAGACAACTCACGTGTTTCTTTAACATGTTTATTAGAAGCAGCATATAGTTGAGTTTGGTGTCTAGGCTCGGGCCTCATCACTCCACAGATATACATAGCACGATGAGTGATGATTAAATAACTAACCCCCCGAGCCTACAGGTGGAATCTGGAATTTGGCCGGTCTGGGTCAGATTCCAGGGCTGAATTTTAGTCCCAGTCCGCCCCTGGGAACAACAGCTACATTACAACCAAATGTTCTTAAGCTTGCTTCCTGTGGTCCCCTTACATAAACCCTCTTTCTCAATATATAAACATTGCGGTTTCTCTCCACACTCAGTCCTCAAAGAGGAAAGCCTGGGAGTTAACAGTAGATCAGGGGAGGTGTAAAATAGGTGGACATTGGTACATTTTTGGAGTGGATTTACCGTCGTGGGCTTAAAAAATAAATCAGAAGTAGAAGGTCAGTATGAAAATGTATCTTGTTAATATGTTATTTTAAAATATTTTTACTTTGGAGTTTGACAGAACAGACTATATGGTCCCGTACAATTTGGTCTCACAAGTGTTAAAAATGTTAAAAGGAAATGCCAAACCAGAAGTTATTACATACGGAGCCCCTAAAGGGACATGGAAAAAAATTAAATAAGAGAGAGAGAAAAAAATATGTATGTATAAGCTTCTGGTGCTTTTTTAAACACGTAAACAAATAGCTGTAGGCGATAGAGAGAGGGGGGGATATAAGGAAAACACAGACACTCATCACCGAGGTCACAATATCAATCGATCCAGCAGAGCAATAGCCTATAGGCAAAACACAGAAGATCATCAAAAGATATGACATAAAATGAACTTACCAAAGCTGAAGTAAATGGTCAACTTCATTCATTTTCTTTCCGTTTTACTGATTATAATCGCTATACGCTGCTCTCTCTTGTCTCCTCTTCACAAACAACTACTATTTTCGCGGCACACGTACTTACAGCCAATCAGCTCTCTGAATTATGAGATTAAGTTTGGTAGGTATGTCAGCACAGAGCCCCTATGGTGATAATTTTTTTGCTGCACACATTGAATAGAAAAATACTCTGAGCATGCGCAGTGTAGTTTTTACAGCAACCATTCACTTTGACAGTGAGAGAGAGGGGCTGGATCGGGGCTTGACCCACATCGCTCAAAACGGCTCAATAGGCACACTGTAGACACTAATTAGAAGAACACAGACTAAAACAGCAATGTACAGATGAATCAGATGATTAAACATGACCTTAAAATATATTTTAAGATGTATTTCTTTCGCATTTATTTGCATTATTATTAAAATGGATACTGATTCCGTTAAATGCCAAAGGTATGCTTTATGTTCAGGTATGTGGTGTTTCCCGCCAAGATTTTTGTGGGAATACACAGCATTAAATAACAAATGTGACATTGAAGTGGTGTGGAGGCTATTATTATATAACATTAGAAAGACTGATTCTTATTATTACATTATAAGCTTATTGTGCTCATTTATGTGGCTGTGACTTTGGAATAAATAGACTCAATCACCCCCCCCCAAGTTTTGATGGGGAGGATAGGAACGAAGGGAAAAGTCACATGAGAAAGTGTTTAGCTTGCAATATTGAAAGTAGCAAGGTCAGATGCAGAGACTGAGAGAATACAAAGAGGTAGTCAGAACAGAATAGAATAGGGCAAGTGATTGGATTTAAAGTAAGATATTTATAGTAAGTGAAGACTTTCTGGGAGAGCCCGTCAGGGACGGCATAGGTTTAAAAGGGTGATTACGTTAAAGGGGACCTATCATGCAAAATGCACTTTTGTACGTCTTTTATACATGAATATGTGTCCCCGGTGTTCCAGGGAACTCACCAAGTGTCAGAAAACACAACCCTCTCTATTTTCCTCCATACCCAAATCTCTAAAAAAGGGGCTGCAACGGATCTGATAAAAACTGATCCAGATTTGAACACGGCGCTACGGCTATTGGGCCAATTCCACCAATCAGGAGGAGACAGCCACGGCCATTGCCGTTCGAAAGCGCTGGAGACGCTGTAGTACATATGCCAGGCCTGTAGGTGGTGCTGTTCTCACAGAATCAGCCCTTGCAAAAACAGGGGTAAAATACTGCACATTGAGCGAAATGAGGCATGGCTAAAATGCATGATCTGTTTGGTATTTTGAAAAAAAAAAAGTATAAATATGCCTTATATAGGTATGGTCCTACACTATATTATTATAATATAGCATGATAGGTCCACTTTAAGTGAGTGACGACAGCTTAATTGTCTCATTCCTTCCTATGAACTTACTATATTATCCTAAAAATGGTGGCAGGGACAATTTAGGGCTTTTGAACAGAAAATATAGCATTTGGTTGTTCAAATACTAAGATGTTTACGTTGTTTTGGTGTAAAAGAACAGAAAAATAGATGAGAAAGTTTGAAAAAGGTTTATGTGAGTGAAAAAAGGGAGTCAGAGATATTGTGGCTGAAATGAAGCTCATTCCTGGTCAGGTGCTGCCATCTGGTGGCCAACAGGGTGTGGCACATAAGAAAGAGAGATTAATGATACATTAAGGTTTGGCTCCATCTGCTGGACATATTGTATATTATTTCAGTCAGAACTAGAACCGCACACGACACTGTGTTCAAATTTAGAACTATTACATTTAACACATATTTGTATATTTAAAGTATTACACAGAGAACACATTGTATCAAGAGTACAAAAGTACTTCAGTGAATTAGCAATTCGTTTTTGATAATTTAATCATTTTATAAAAATATTTATAAAATATGGCAGATTCCAAGATAACAGTACTCTAGAAGCCAGGCTCAACTGCAGACTGTATTCAGAGTCAACAGAGGGAACAATGGAGAGGAAACAATCGTTCAAGAAGAAGAGGTAGGGAGAAAAATGGGTGTTTTATATGTGGACTTACGGGACATTGGGCCAGAGATTGCCCCACTCAGCAAAATCCACCAAGATATAGCCCCTCGCAATATAGAGGAGAACCAGTGTTTAACATCAGTAAAATTGAAGCGGATGCATGTGTCAGGGCTCTGACAAATATGTTCCAGGTTTTGTCTACACAGGTTCAAACAGCTGAGAAAACACCAGAGACTCCTGTTGGACCAGGTGATTGGGTAAAAGTAAAAATCCACAAGAGGAAGTCGTTGGAGCCTGTGTGGAGTGGACCTTGGGAGGTTGTGGAACGCACTACACATGCACTCCGGGTTAAAATTAAAACAGGAACATATTGGCACCATCTTACACATTGTGTACCTGCACTGCCACTTTCCAGAAATAGCACGGCAGTTAGAACTGATTTGACAGAAGCTGAAACAAAACAATAAGTAATTGGACATTTTTAGAAACAGCACCAGGAGATGAGTTAACTCAAGAATCTTTAGAGTGTAAACAGATAGGGAAAAATACATTTTTACACTCAAACAATTTGCATGTCTGGATTATGGACAGGGCATTTAAATAATACGAATAAGTGTTCACTAAAAGTGATAATATTAATAATTATAATAGAAAGAAAACATAGGCCTACTCTTGAGTCAATTTACATTGTTGTGATCTGTTAGTATCTGCTGGTTTTTACTGTTGTTCTAAGTAAAAGTGGGATTTTAACGGGGAATATATGGAGATGTTCTTTTTGTAGTGTGTGAAAAAATGGTGTTTGTAACATGTGAGTATTTCAATTTATAGGAGAAAATGGTTTACTGAAAGAGCTATTTTGAGTAAATATGTTACCAATGGTTGAAATTAGTTCTGAAAAAGGAGTTCTGTAAGGCAAGGCAAGGCAAGTTTATTTATATAGCACCTTTCAGCACACGGCAATTCAAAGTGCTTTACAAAATAAAATAAAATACATTGTAGCTAAAAGCAACTACAGAGATCATTCAACAAATAAAATATTCAGCTTTTTCAGCTAAATTCAGCAACAAATGTTCACAGTTTACAGCATGCGTACGCATTTTCAGCTGGAAATGCATTTTCTAGTATTTATTTTGCGATCCAGACATACCAACATAACCAATCAACATAAACTTCCTACATTCAAAAGGAGTGTTCAGTGTAATCCAATACAAGAAAAAGATGTGTCCCATTGACCAGCAATATATAGATATGCATGGCATATCCTCCCTCATGGCATATATTTATTGACAGCAAAGTGAGACTTAAATGAATTTATTAATTGACTAGATTAAAACATTTTAAAACCAAGATTATTCACACAAAATAATAGTTAAGTAAATATAATCTAATGCATTTAAAAATATTCAAACAATAATAATCTTAATACAGTACAAGTTGTCTTTGCTGGCTACCCTTTACTGTCAGTGATGTTGCCAAACAGAAATGAAATGAATAAAAAGCTATGACTATTTTAGAGATGTTCATCTCATCATATAAATGTAAAAATAATTAATATTTGGATGTGCATGACTGATGAGGGCATCCAATAATACACAATTAATAAACCAATTAGGTTATAATATTTGTAACATTATA